TTTCCTTTCCCTCCCTCTTATTCTGATCTTCAACATTAGATCGTCTATGGTGTGTGTATGTCACCACGAAATATATCGTACTCTTCAAGGACCATCAAGAGAACGGTGAATAAGTTTTAAAAAATTGGAACAGCAGAGAGAAAAAACTGGATCCGGAGGTCACAACAGGAAGCGTGATCATCATTTCAACTTAGAGCTAAAGGGACCAATTAGAAATCATCCAATTCAATTCGCAAGAAATGTATCTTTATGCATTAGACATCCGACAACATTCATATTTCTCTTACTTAAACCCTTCCACTCACCTCTCCTAAAATTCTCTCTGTTAAGGTTTAATCTCCCTCCTTCTCTAGTCTAATTAACCCCCTTCAATTATAATTGAAAATCTAATATTCGTATTTATATATACATCCTCATACTTATACTTCTCTAAATTCTATTTTTTTATTTCCGGAGTTGTTTTTCTGTTTTCTTTTTGAATTTGTAGGTCTGATGAATTGATCGTATTTACGATTCCAATGGAATAAATTATGACCATGGAATATTAATATTTAAACCTTTTTTATTTATATATATATTTTTATATATATATATATATATATATATATATATATATATATATATAAAATATATATGTGTGTGTGTGTTGTGTGTGTATGATAGAAATTAGGAGGATTTGAGATAATTATAATTAAGTAATTCATCAAGTCTGAAAGAAACCTCAACAGAATGCAGAAAGCACTGGACGGACGTTTTGTTCTATATTTGGGATTTCATAGCAGTGCGCATCCACTACAATGAGAATTGAGTCCTGTTTGTACGTAACTGTCCGGATTTACTTAATTATATATATATATATATATATATATATATATATATATATATGTGTGTTTGTGTGTGTGTGTGAAGTTTATTTCAATACTGGATGAGCATCCAATTTTAATGATTAATTAATGATGAACATGTCATTTTCGTTTATGATCTATTTCATGACGATTCTTCTGTTAAGCTTGTAGAGTAATTATATATTCTTATCTCTCAAAGTAGAGTCCAATAATGTTATAAAACTATCGGAGAATTCCAGTAAGATATCTTTAATCATATCTAAGATACAACGTTTCCAAGCTTAATCTAACAATTGAACAATTTTGCTGTTATACGATTTGGAGAATTTACACCCGTTGACGCACGTGTTAATGACCTGTCCGAGTGAGCTGTTTATCCGACAGTGAGAATGTCACGTGTTTGTGTATGTAGAGGAGAAAGGTGATGCCAATACTCATTTGATTAGAATGAGTAAATTAATGATAATTATAATTGTTATAATTATTATTATTACATTTGTCACTATAATTAATTTTTATTTTTATGGACGACAAATATCACACACTTTTCAGTACTAATATAATCTGGTGTATGTCGAGTATCATTGCATTACGTCATCGTATTCTTATGCCTCGTTAACGATGTGTTCTCAAATAAATTCCTCACACTCTAAACGTTTTATTTCCACTTCAGTTTATGCTAAAAAAAACAAAACAAAATACAAGCAATTTCATCCAATATCACGTCAAAACACGGGTCTCGTAATCCCTCAGCATTGTAAGGGCATTCCATATATTGCATTTAGAGCAGTAGTGTCGTCGTGTCATCAGCTGGCGACCATAAAGATGAACATGGTTTTAGAAAGTACATAGATAGATAGATAGATAGATAGATAGATCTCAAAAGACTGGAAGGAATATATTGATATCAAGATAAACTGAAGTAGATAGATAATGATATATACAGATATTAGCAGAATAATTCTGACCAGATAAATAGATGTAAAGACAATAGCAGATAGATAGATAGATAGATAGATAGATAGATAGATAGATCTCAGAAGACTGGAAGAAATATATTGATATCAAAATAAACTGAAGTAGGTAAAGAATGATATAGATAGATATTAGCAGAATAATTCTGAACAGATAAATAGATAGATGTAAAGACAATAGCAAATAGATAGATAGATAGATAGAAGCAATCGTTTTGCATAAGTTAAGGAAACCTAAAAAGAGACTTCACTCTGTACTCGGCGTTCCTCTTAACCAATCAAACACTAGAAATGTTTGATTAACTAGAGAAGTCGTATATCGGAAGAATTTAGAAGCAAAGTAAATAGGTTCCACGTGCTTTTACAAATAGGAACAGCATTTAAACACTTGTCTTTCTCTTGATGCAGAAAGATATCAATGGAACAGCAAAAGATAGTCTTTAAAAAAAAAAATGGATTTAACATAATAATATTTATATAAACATTTGAATCTAAACATAATTCTTTTGAGAAAAAATGTTTTACGGGATTTAAAGAAAGATTTACATTTTTATAATAATTATATCACAAGCAAAGCAATAAAGCCACTAAGACTCAAGAGTTTACTAAGAAGAAAATACAATACGGTGAAGCAAAATGGCAAAAAAGAAAGGTCACAAAAAATGAACAGGACTGAAGCATGACAACATTGCATTTAGATTTTCGTAGATTTTAATTGACAGGAAAGAAGGAAGCTAAAAGAAATCGACAAGTACGAGAAAAGAAACTGTTAGAATAGAAAGTAGGTTTCATTTAGCAATATCAACAGTTAAATGATGAGACCTAACTGCCAATCGAGCACTACGCTTAAATTCATGACGTTGAGGTACGAAAGAGGAACGGTCATCAGGACAATTGTCATGGACATTTTTGTAGAAAAGGCACAGGGAATCTACATAACGGCGACTGGAAAGTGATTGAAGGCAAGTGGCCAGGTCAAGGCCGATAAAATTACAATTTGGATTTTTTCCCCAGAAACACAACAGAAGCGGCTGACCATATGCTGCAACGATGTTCAAGAGACGGACGAATGGTAGAGTTATAGAGAGGCAAGACAGATGAAAATCTATTGTACTATGCTACGCGCCCTAATAAAACCAACTATATTTGTATCCCCTTAACTAGCTACACTTCTCCCTCGAATTCGATTTCGATCGTTCAATATATGGAGGATGTGATGGACGTACTAACAGAAACCACAGAATTTTATAGATAGATTAGCCATTATTTTTTTAATTTATGTTGTAAACAATCAGAATGAAATATGTATAAAAATATACAAAATCGATAATGCATTTCTTATTAAATATCTATTTGTAATTTCAATCATTATTTTTTTTAAGATAATGTATTTTGTATATTAACTAATAAAACTTTTAATTCCCCCCCCAAATAATTAAAATTTATTGTGTTACGGTTTTTGGGTATATAGCATATAACTAGTGAGCGAGTCAGAATGACTTATTTCCCTTTATAGTCAACCAATAGAAGGTTGACTAATCAGAAACCGCCCAACACTGTATTCATAGTGTATAAAGGCGGCCATCTTGTTTCCTCCTACCGGAAGGACCAAAGGCGACCAGGAGAAGGATGAACTACACTCTGCTGTGATATCCACTGCGAACCTCCACTACGCTTTCCTACTGTCTCCGAAATATTCACTGCCAACCTCTGGATTCGATACTCGAGGACGACCGTCATGAAAATGTCTAACATATTGTACTAAGCTCCTTACCTAGTAAAACTAAGTGTACTTTATATCACCACCTCAACCTAGCTGCAATTCTTCCTAAAATTTGGTTTCGATCAGTCAAGAAATTGTGATTTTAGTGAGTGTGATAGATGGACGGACGAACTGATGTCTCAGAATTTTAGACATAGATTGAGATAACTCCCGATTTTTTTTAATCATATCACCGCATGCAATGCAACTAAGACACAAGTGGTGACTAAATGTGGAAGAACAAGAAAAGAAACACGGGAGAACGAAAAGGACGTAAACGTAATCAAGACAGTAGATAACGATTGACATTGCATTTACATTTCTGAAGATCAAAGTTGGCTGGAAAGCAAGAAGCCGGAAGAAAGTTCCTAAAATCAGACGTGCCGGAGAAGAAACTGTAAACATAGAACATACGGTTACATCTAGCCAATTCAACTGCGAACTGATGATGATGAGACCTTGCCGCCAATCTAGTACTGCACTTAAATTCATAACGTCTAGGTCTCAAAGGTTGTCAGGAACGTTGTTCGAATTTTGATAAAACGCAGGATAACAGTGATTTTTCATAGGAGGCAAGCTGTCAACTATTCTTCCTCATAGTTAGCCATGTGTTATACAGATTTGCTAAGCGTAATTTAGAAGTGGCACAAGGCCGCAAGTATGGAGGACCCACTGAGGATCAAAGTCCCAACTCAGTCGTAATTGATCTAATGAGACAATATCATGCTATCAGGGTTGGTAAGGTTTCGTCGAAGTGTTTCTCGTCTGTAATACTAATCACACGTTCTTTACTCTTTTGGGGGGATAGGTTCCCACCCTCGCAAATATCGAGGACCCAGTGAGGATCGAACTAAATACTCATTTCTAATCGATGTGAGAAATTGCTAAACATTACACCACGTCAAAGTCCCTCTTTAGCCATAGCGATTGACTAAGCTCAGCTTAAATGCGGCACAAGGATCGAATTCACTACTCAGTCATATCTGATTGGTTGTTTTTTTTTTTTTTTTTTTTTAGCGGCATATCAACCTCTATAGTTTAATTAATGCCGAAATTGAAACATTTTTGTACACTATTTCATTTTTGGGGATAATAATTGTTTAATGACACGATTTTTACTAATTAACCCATAGCTGGGAGAAAAGAAGGCGGATTCATGCTTTTCCCAAGAGTATTTGCGTCTAACTGAATATAACAAACCCGAATGGAATTGGAACTCGGCACTCCGATTAAAAATTCCGAGTCATTATCCGTTACAAAACCCACACATCCAAGCTTACAGCACCTAATATTCACAAGCGGTCACCCATCTAGGTACAGTCTAGAATCGACGTTGGTTAACTTCGGTGATCGTATAGAAATCGGCTCTCTGATTAACAATTCCGAGCCATTATCCATTACACAACCCGCAAATCCAAGCTTACAGCACCTAATATTCCCAAGCGGTCACCCATCTAGGTACTGTCTAGAATCGACGTTGCTTAACTTCGGTGATCATATCGAAATCGGCTCTTTGATTAACAATTCCGAGCCATTATCCATTACACAACCCGCAAATCCAAGCTTACAGCACCTAATATTCCCAAGCGGTCACCCATCTAGGTACTGTCTAGAATCGACGTTGCTTAACTTCGGTGATCATATCGAAATCGGCTCTTTGATTAACAATTCCGAGCCATTATCCATTACACAACCCGCAAATCCAAGCTTACAGCACCTAATATTCCCAAGCGGTCACCCATCTAGGTAGTCTAGAATCGACGTTGCTTAACTTCGGTGATCGTATCGAAATCGGCTCTTTGATTAATAATTCCGAGCCATTATCCATTACACAAACCGCAAATCCAAATTTACAGCACCTAATATTCCCAAGCGGTCACCCATCTGGGTACTGACGCGGATCAACGTTGCTCAACTTCGGTGATCGTAAGGGAACCGTTGTTTCAACGTGATGTGGCCGTAAGTCAGTCATAACTGATCTAGCGAGAGCTGCTTGATGGCTATTACACCAGGTCGAAGTTCCCCTTCTAACCATTTGTCATACTTGGCAAGCTTTGGTTAAAACTGTATCCTTTCATGGAATCCTAATCTCGTGTTGTTTGCGTTTATTTGACTGTTGCCCACTTTCGCAAATATAGAGGATTCAGATTTACCCATTGAGGATCGAACTCAGTACCTATTTCTAACTGACTTGCGAGACTGGCTTTCGATCCATTATACAGCGTCGAAGTGCTTCTTTAGTCAGAGTAGTTTACAAAGTGTAACTTAGATGCGGAACAATGCCTCAAGTACGAGACGCTCAGAGAGAATAGAACGCACAACTCAGACATAACAAGTCTAGCGAGACAAACTTGCTGACCCTTACCACAGGTTGAAGTCCCCCCTTAATATATACTTGACTAAGTAACTGGACTAAGCAAATAACATGGCATCTATATGGGAAAGCTTTATGTTAAAACGTTATTCTCGCTTGAAATCCGAAACACAGGTTGTTTACTTTTATTGATGACTGCTCACGCTCGCAAATACAGAGAACTAATTGACCGGCGAGACCAACGAGATACACAGGGAGGTTCGAACGCACTATTCAGTCATAACTGTTCTAGCGAGAGAAGCTTACTGGCCATTACATCACATCGAAGTTACTCTTTAGCTCTGAGACACACTGGATTAAGTAAATATCATGGCGTCTATATTGGCAAGATGTGGTTAAAAACGTTATTCTCGCTTGAAATCCTAATCACGCGTTGTTTACATTCTTTTTATCGGGGGCTAAGCTCACTCTCGGCTGATAGCGACCTGCGCGTGTCAATATGTAAAAAGGTATAAACAGCGCTCTGCTTTCTGTCTTTTTTTTTTCTCGTATCAAATGGAGAGTTTGATCTATAAAAACTAAATTTCAGTCGCTATTATCGTAAACATTGCGTGCAGAGTAAGTAAAGTAAATGCTTTTTTTTTTTAAAATGATTAAAAAGTTGGACTTTGGTTTCGAAGTCAGACTCGCTAGAGCTGAAAGCTGAAGGAGATTTCGAAAATAGCACACTTGCAATGTCATCGAATAAGAAACGTATAGAAGATATTTGTGACTTTACCAGTTTTTAGGCGTTGAGATCACGTAATTAATTAACGATAATAGAAGATAAGAAGTGGCATAATCTTAAAGTGCCATTGACCTTTGCCCCTGTAGCGGACCGTGGCGATGGTGTTGAGTAGAAGTAGAAAAACACACGTGAGTTAAGATTTTCCTGCTAGCCGATCCAACTACATGAGGAAGTTGGACTTTAATTAAATCCAAAGAAAACAAAGAAAAACAAACGCAAGCCCGATAAATATATGTAAACAAATATATGTATTAATAACAAGAATGGTTACAAGTTACATGGACAGTTACATGGACAGAGTGTGTGTGGTAAATATTATATGTGTGTGTTGTGTTGTGGTGAGTGTTCGTACGTACGTGTATTGTTCTTAGCGTGTTCCCAGCAATTCGGAAACGCTGTATCTGTGAGAGCTCACATCCGCGAGGTGGTATAAGGCCGAAGCCCGAGGAAAAGAGGAAGAGGCGAAGGGTCACCCAGTATTTATAGCCAGGGGAGAGAGAGAGACCCCTGTTGAAGGATTAAGGAGCTAAGGAGGAGCTAACTCCAACACCTCTTCAGGGCGTGGGCGCTCATAGTTCGCCACAATTTTACAATTTTCTGTACTTTGTAGTATTTTTTTTTTTTTTGCTATCTCTCTGTTCTGTCAACTATTTTATTCAAACTCTCCAGGTAGGTTACAATTTATTTGCTTTCAGTAGGTCCTGTGAGTGCCAAATTCTCCATACCTTCTTTCCTTATGTGTCCTAGAAATGTCAGTTGTCTCTTCCTTCTTATGTGTCCGTAGTTTCTTCCTTCTTGTTAGCTCTCCGCTCCCGATTTTAAGTAAACGTCACCCTATTTATTTACATTTTCAAAACCTTCGTCGTCGCTCGCATATTCGATCCGCTATATTCTCAGTATTCTTCTTAGAAAGACTTAGATTAGAACAGAATTGAAGAATTCACATGGTATCCTCAGCATCTTCCTGCAGATCCATATTTCTGGCACCTCCAGTCTCTGCTTCATCTGTGAGGAGACTGTCGAGCATTCGCTGCCATATTGGAGGCCCAATAGTTCTGCCCACTTTCCGTTGTTTCTAACAAAATGGCCCTGTTTCTGAATAATTTGATCAGCTTTATCCGCCTTGCAACATCCACCCTTCATTCCCTCTGTATTCCAATTGTAAGGATGAAGTTCCATGCAGACAGATTTTTCGTAAGAACCTCTACTTTTTGGAACAGGTTCCGAACGCTACCACCTCTTCAAGTCAGGGATCAGTCATTATTTATCCTCCGTCTCCTCATAATTATCACTTCCTACTTCTAGATTCATATCTCTCTAACTTGAGTGGCTCTTGGGCCTTGTGTTGCGTGGACATCAGTAAAACAAAAGTTTATTATATATTTCTCCTGTTCTATTCGTCGCTACACGACCAAAGATATTTGTCTGTGGTTTTCTTGCTTAGCGGTACATCAACTCCTTATGGGTCATTTAATACAGAAATTTAATTTTCTTGAAAGCATTAGCAATGTTTTGGTGGTATTTCTTTTTACAAAAGGTATTGCTGGTAATTCGTTTTATAAAAATGCATTTCAAGTATTTTTTGCTATAAAAATGCATTACAAGTATTTCTTTTGCTATGAAAATGCATTGCAAGTATTTTTTTTTCACTATAAAAATGTATTTTTATACTTTCATAGTGTTCCATCCCAGTTTAATGGTTAACTATTTGCCCATAGCTGAAACCCTAAGAGCTGCACGTTCCTCAAAACCGCCAATCTCCCGATCAGAGGCCTTGCTGCCGGATGTAGTTTATCGTCACACCCAGTACGAACAACCAAAGATAAACCAGATCCTCATTTCTAGCCTTTCATCTGTTCTCTAGCTTTTCTATTTTGGAATCTATGCTTTTGTAATCAGCTCATTTATTTTGCCTATTTTAAACCAACCCTTCGCATCATGAACAAAGTGACTGTTTTCATTCTTTCGAGGCTTCTGCTGCGAAGATTTTCCATCGTGAAATAATTCGTAAAATACGACTTCGACGAGCGAAAGAATAAAAAGAAGAGTCGTCTCCCCTGTGAGTGGACAGAGATTTTCCTTGAATTTGTAATTGATAAAGCTCTCGGCATGAGGTGTTTCAGTCTCTCGAGATCATTTGCGTATTCAAGAGGAATGCGAAGAGGCAAAAATAAATTACTACCGAGGCTCAGTGAGAGGTAACACGTTGACTTAGCCAATGAGATCAATGAATACTACTTTGAGAGCAGAACGCTTAAAATCGCTTGCTAAAATAAAAGAGCAAATGCAACCAGAAAAGAACGATTCCTTTAACAAATATTTAACTGATATCACAATTCAACACCTAATTATATTCAATCAAAAAGTATATTTCTTCTTATTAGAAACGTTACATTTTTGTGTACACGTTTTTGAGTAAACATCTGTATTTTTTAAACATTGAAATCATTCACTACCGGCTTTGGTATTGAAGTCTTTTTAAAGTAAATGTGCTTCGCGACCTTTATTCCTTTTACCACAAGGGAAACCCTATTTGAGCCAAGTGTGCTTTACCAACACGCGAAGCTGTCATGACCAAAGCCAGGCTCTATGACCCTTCTATAAGAAATGCTCAACTCTCGTTGGGAACCATCTGCCTGATCTTTAATAGGACTTTTCGATTTCTAGGCTGGCAGACATTAATTTCAAAGTTTAAAAACAAAAACAAAAAAACAAAATAGTCTACTCAAATATATCTACCCACTAAATATAAAGTTTATAGTAATATACTAATATATATTTTCCGATTTTCTGAGCCAAATCATTTCAAGAGGTAAGCGTTCATTACTCTCCACATCGTCCTGTATTTTGTATACTGTCAGTATTTTTTAATCTTTACCACACCTCTTTGCCATTATTCTGCCGTCTATTAACACCAAATTAGTTAAGTTATCATTGTTTTCTTATGCTTTTCTGTCTTCAGTACGCCTTGTGAGTGTTAAATTCTCTAGGCCCTCATGTGTTATTATACCAGAATATTTAAAAAAGCAAGTGACACACGATGAGGGGGGATATAAAAATAATAATTAACAATAATTCATCTAAGAAACTATTACTTCTAATATGCTGTTCTATTTTCCTATGTGCCGTGCCCTTTTAAGATGGAGGGTATGGTTAATGACTCTCCACGCCTTCCAGATTTTTGATGCTCTCAATTTTTTGAAATTTTACCTGTCGACTTTTGTCTCTGATCTAATACGCATCCGCAAAAACTCACTGTTTCACTTTGTTTCTCTTGTTTATATCCTGTGCGTGTTAAATTCTCTAAGTTCTCTTTCCTCATTAGTTGTCCCAAAGATTTCATCTATTTGTACGTACCGTATTTTTCGGTATTCTTATGTCTTCAAGACTCAATTTGGTATTTAAATGTCTCTATATTTTCAGACTTCTTCATATTTGAGAGAATCTTTCAGCATTCACTGAATATATATATATATATATATATATATATATATATATATATATATATATATATATATATATATATATATATATATGTGATGCAGTTCAATTTATATTACAATGAATCATTCATCCAAAAAATAGATTAGTAAAGTTAATGATATAAAATGGCGAAATCCTTTCGTAAACAAAATTTTAAACCTACAAATCAATGGATGAATGTTATGATCCTTGTTTTTAATAATTATAAACTGTATAAGGTCTTTCTTTAATACGCAAGTACTTTCAATTGTATATTCAGTCATCCTCAGGCATGGAAATTATTTAGTTTTTAGTAAAATTCAGTTAGCTTCCGCGACGATAAAAATTAAATGCGAATCGAAATATGTTATTTACCAAATGTATAATTAACGGATACAAA